CACAACTTGGGAGTGTCAGGAAGCAACAGTCACAGTGATTCGTGACGCCGAAACCCAAGGAAGCACATTTGGGCACAATACAGGATTCTCAGACGGTTGTCTTCCTGTGAGGAATTCCCCACAATGAAAATATTTCCTTGTAGGGCCCTCTGAAGGGGGAACTTGGAAAGAGGATTGATTGCAACATCGTTGATGCGTCGTGGGCTTACACTGGTCCTCCTCCTCCTCCTCGTCCGGCCTGGAACACCAGAATCCCAACAGGGAAACTCCTGAAGCTCCTCAAATCCCGCTTTCCCAAAAACCTCCTGACCCGTCTGCTTGGCATCGGTCGGACATGTGCGCTTTTTCCCGGCGAGGACCATCGAGGAACATCTTGAATCATCGAGCAAAAAAGACACGCACGAGACCGAACAATGCACGGGGAAGGGACGTCCGAGCGATAGCGAGGCTGGTCATCGCTCGGAAGTCCACTCCCCGTACATTTGTCGATGCCACCCTAGATGTTCCTCGATGGGAAAAATGCGCAAGTCGGAGCGATGCCAGGTATCATCGTCCACCCCCTTTCTTTCTTTCTTTCGGACGCCTCGGGCCACACCGTGACAGACCACTGAACAAGAATTAAGGCTTAAAAGTTGCGCTGAACTCTGCCGAGCTTTGCCGTGGTACTCGTCCACCCCCTCCAGCGCTGGTGCTCCCGTGGAGGGGGTAGAGGGGGTGGAGGGGGAGGGGGCGCTTAGACACACCCGTGGAGGGGGAGGAGGGGGAGGAGGGGGGGGAGGGGGGGGGGAGGAGGGGGAGGGGGGGAGGAGGGGGAGACACACCCGTGGAGGGGGTGGAGGGGGAAGGGGCGCTAAGACACACCCGTGGCGACGTGCACGGACTTGGAGGTGCTCTGCAAAACCTTACGCCGTGGCCGCCACGAGCGCCCTGGGAGGCCGGAGCGCCAGCGGCGCCCCGTGGGAGCAGGTGGCCAGAGAGCCCGAGCCCAGAGAAGACAGCCAGGTGCAACTCTTCCACCTGAACCCCCTCCTCCTCCTCCTCCTCCTCCTCCTCCTCCTCCCCCTCCTCCTCCTCCTCATCCTCCTCCTCCCCTCCTCCTCTCCTCCTCCTCCTCCTCCTCCTCCTCCTCCTCCTCTTCTCCTCCCTCCTCCTCCTCCTCCTCCTCCTCTTCCAATCCCTATCAAAAACGGAGGCCCGTGGAATGCCCGTGTATGCGTGGATGGGCGATGCGCTCGCCGCCGTGGAGTGAGCAGGAAAAAGCAGCGACGGGCTGCCTGATTAGGACCCGAACTCTCAGGGCCACTCAAAACTCGATTGAGGTTGAAGGGTCGGCGCCCTGGGGGAGGCAAGTTCGGAAGGCCCACCCGCCCTCGAAGCCCAACACTCTCGCCCGAGCGCAGGAAACCTCTAACACACGCTTTCGGATTCGAATGCCCATTGGTCGTTTCGCGACGGTAACGAGCGTTATGGGGAGGGGGCATGAAGTAATGCCCCCCCTTCCGTCGTGTCGGTCCAGCACCACAAAGTGTGGTGCAAGACGCACTTCGGGAGTACAGGGGACGCCCTGGGGGAGGAGAGCGTTATGCTATGGGGGGAGAACGAGGGGAAGGAGGAGGCATCACGCGCATCATGGCACAGGAAGAAAAACACTCCATTCAAGTTCAGCGATCAAACTACCCTGTAAGACGATATTGAATGAATGTTTGACCTTCCAGTGCCCCGGCCCTCCCCCTCCTCAGCCCCACCCCGCATAGTCACCAGTGGAATAGATGCTCGGTAACCCGTCCCACACTCTCGCGTCTTATGATCCCTCCTGGGTACGTTCTGAGTGCGGGTGCAGGGCGTTGGAAGGGAGGGGCCACCTCAGATGCCTCGAGAAGAAGCGTGTGTGCGTAGTGGGGGTATCTCTAAGACGACAGCATAGGCTGTATCACGCGCTTTGAGCGGGAGGCCACGTAAACGAAGCCCTCTTGAGAGCCCCGTCTGAGTCGAGCCCTCTGGAAAGTCCTCCCTCCTCACTCCTCCGTCCCTCCCTTTACTTATGCACACCATCAATCCTCGCTGCTGTATCCCGCCACCCGTCCTCCTACTTACCTATTGTTTCATCCCTCCTCCTACCTCATTCCTCCCTCGTCGTCCCCCCATAGCCTCAGCCAGAAACGAAGAGACGGGTTGTGCGAATGTCAGCCACTCATAAATAGAGGTATGCTTTCCACCCCAGTACCGTGCGAATATGTACTTCGACGTGCTATGCCGCTGCTGAGCAGCATGCTTTCCGTGCCCCCGTCGCTGTACACCAGCAGCCTTATTCCCCACTTAGACTTGCCTAACGGATTACTACTCGGTGAAAGGTTGGTGCCTCCTATTGTTACTTTGCCCGTTGCCCAGTGGCTCCTCGGGTTCCTCGGGTTACCCGCCCCCGGTGCCTCCTATTGGTACGTTGCCCGTTGCCCGGAGGTTCCTCGAGTTCCCCGGGCTCCTCGGGACTGCGCCCGTTCCAAGCAACGCCAAGCAATGCCAAGGAGTGCTCAACAAGGCCAAGCAATGCCAAGCTCTGCGCCCACGCAAAAAGGAAACTCTCCCCTGATCCGGCCGACGCAGGGCTCATACACTTTACACGAAGAGATCCAACCAAGCGGTGGTCCGCAATCTGGCCGGGATCTCGGGGCGGACCCGGCCAGGGCGACGAGAGCCCCCGGTGGCCCGAGAACGGCGGGCGAGCAGACGAAAAAACAAGAACGAGTGAAAAACAAAGGACGAAAAAAACAGAAGACCCAGAAAAAACAACAAAGCAAAAACAAGACACGATGTGAAAAACGCTGTAGCCGCGCAAATCGAGAAAAACGAAAAACGCTGTAGCCGCGCAAATCGCGAAAAAACTAGTGAAAAACGAGAAACGACAAAAAAAACAAAAACGAGTGAAAAACAAAAACAAAAACGAGTGAAAAACGCTGGATCTTCCGAGCAGATTCCAGAAAAACCGCGCCTGCAGCGGCTGGTGCGGGCGTCGGGCCCCGTCGCCTCCCGCGGGGCAAGGGAGTGGGGGCCCCCGGCGCCTCGAGCCTCAGGGTGCGCCCCCTCGGGGCGCCTCGAGGTCCCTCCTGCGCTGGTGGCCCCTGCCAGGCAGGAAGGACGGTCCCAGCACATAGAGACTGCGGAAGGGGGGGGGGTCCTGGATGGGGGGCCCGAGGCCCCCATCCCGCGGGGGGGGGGGAGGCGCCCTGGATGGGGGACCCTGCACACAGAGACTGCGGAGGCTCCCCCATCCAGGGCGCCTCCCCCCCCCTTAATGAAAAAAATACTTTCGTGAGAACGGCCCAGGACCAAAACCGACGGACCCAGGCCCGCAGAAATGACGGCCGCGGCGCCCTCTCGCGAACCGAAAACGGCCAATTCGCTAATCAATGCATCAAGGCAGGAGGTCGATCAACCTCTTAAGACAAGGCCTGCGCCTCCTAAGACGGTCCCGGGGGGGGGGTCCGGGGACCCTCCCCCATCCAGGGCGCCTCCCCCCCCCCCGCCACCCGCCCGCCCGAGCGCGATGGCGAGATCGCGCGGCAGCGCAAACGGATCGTCGAAGCTCAATCTTGGCGGCGCGCGCGAGAGCGTAGGGGGAGGGGGGGATAGAAGGAGGCTGCCTCTCAAAAGCACCAGCCCTACACCAGAGCGTAGGGGGAGGGGGGGAAGCCTTCTTAGAAGGAGGCTGCTCCTCAAAGGGCAACAGCCCTGCACCTGCAGACAAGGCCCGCGGGGTGCTTCTGAGAAGCCTCCCCCCTCCCCCTACCTCCCTCTGCGCGTGGCTTTTGCTGTGGACGTGTGTTAGAGTCTAGCGCTGACTCCCAGGCAACATGAACATCGTTTAACCGATCCCCATCCCCAGCGGCGTGGCATGGGCCCCACTGGCCGATTTACCCCCTTAGATGGGGATATAGGCCGTTCCCTTCGGGTTTCGAGGGGTGTGTCCCCAACTAGGGGGGTAATTTGGTGGGGGTCTCGAAGGGGATGGGGATGGGGATGGGGATATCCGGATGGGGGTCGGCTAAACGATACGGACGACAGGACCGAACGAGGGTCCAATTACCAGCCTGGAACATATCCGTATCCCTATGCTGGGCACCTCCTCATCACGATGCCAATCTTAGGGATTCCCTTATTTTTTGAGGGCGAATCCCTAAGATTGTCATCGCCTTTTGGCGTGTCAATCTTAGGGATAGGGGCACGCTCGAGGCTGGTAGACCGAGAGAAGGCGAACGGGCGAGGGCCCGAGGGAAAGACACAAAAGGCGGAGCGACGGCGACCGAGCGAAGCACCGCGGCCCGAGACCCGCAGGCCCCCGCCATGCGAGGCCAACAGAAACAGCAGGCACGGCCTCTCGCTTTCACAGTGCTTTTCGTTTTCGTTTTGTTTTCGTGTTGTTCTCGTTTTCCCCAGGTTTGTCTCCCGCCTCTGCTGCAAAACGACATCGAAACGAGAACGGCCCACGAAATCGCCAAAACACCGTTTAGGTCCACCCCTGTCGGGCGTTGGCAGAACTGGGTTCAGTGGGACCTGGTTCAATGATGTGTACCGGGGGACGCCCCCCCCCCGCCCCGTTCCACGAACCGGAACCGCCGTCCCCCAAAAACACACAAGCTGCGGCAGACCTGGTTTTGTGATTCTGGCAAATTCAAAGGCTCCGGGGCCCTACAGTCAACCAGTAAAGTAAGGATGCGCGAGAAGGATGCAAGGGCCTTGGACGCCCGTTTCGAAGCTTCTCGAGCGGGGCGCGGCCAGCGAGAGCGGCCAAGGAGGGACCGAGGAGGCAAGGATGCAAGGGTACCCTTGGGAAGGGTGCCCATCCCTACTGTGCGGGTTGACTCTACCACTAACGGGGTCCCCTTACCCTTGCCTGGGGCCCCCCTCCTCCTCCTCCGCCTCCTCCGCCTCCTCCTCCTCCTCCTCCACCTCCTCCTCCTCCTCCGCCTCCTCCTCCTCCTCCTGGGGCGGGGGGCAGCGGCGGCCTGCTGCCGCTGGGCGTACTCCCGCCCGGCCGCCTCGTGGCGCTTCGTATGCCTGCCGGCGTCTCGCGGCCGCGGCGGCCCGAGGGGGGGCTCCTCGGAGGCAGGGCCGCCTCCGGACGACTGGGCAGTTTTTGATACATAGGATTTGTTTAAAAATATATGATTTTAAAGCACGATTAATGTATGAATACATGTATGCATGAACTCATCGTTGTTTTATGTTTAAAATATGGGATGCTTAATACATGATTAATGTATGAATAAATGTATGCAGGGACTCCTTGTTGTTTTTAAGACCAAATCCCTGCACGCTTTTTTAATACATGATCCGCACGCGGAGCATGTATTAAAAGCGGCGCTGTACCTACCAGGCCACCCCACCCCAACCCGAAGACCCGAATTTCGGGTTGGGGGGGGTGCGGGTTCCATATATGTGTCTTCTCAAATGCTCCCCGACCCCCCCCCCCACTGGAAATGGAGGGCGAACCGAGACCTTCGAGTTGGGTCGGGGTTGTTTGGTGGGCGGTGACCTCCCCTGGGAGAGAGCCCAGAGCCGAATCGAGAAGTCCTCCGCTCTGCAGTCGGACTTGGTCGGACTTGAGCAGGGACCGACCGTCCCAGCAATCCTGTAGGCCTACCACGAAGTGTTCTCAGAACCCCCCCAAAAAAACGTTATGATAACAAAAACAGTGTTCTTAGAACATAACCCCGATGTGCTAAAACATGACGGTCGCAGCCAGCCAGATATGCTCTAAGAACACGAAAGGTCATTAGAACACTATTTGGTGGGCCTATAGGCGAGCCAGGACGCTTCGCCACTGCTCGATGGACAGGGCGCCCGAGAGGAGCCCAGGCTCTTCCCGACGCTGAGGGAGGAGCAGGACGCGGAGGCGGAGGAGGAGGACGTGAAGTGATATGGCTATGTGTCGCTGTAGCCCCGTTTGTGGGACCAGTGACCTGGTGTACCACCGTGGTGTGCCACTTAAGGTCAGGGCGCTGGTTACACTGAACGAGAGGATTGCTGGAGGGCTTTCCTGAAGCACCGCTGGCGTTGTCTAAAAACAATGTTCTGCCACGAGTCCGACAAATCAGCTTGAACCGAATGCCCGATGGGGCAACGCAGCAAATGTGGATAAAAACCGAAGATACCCATTTGGCTCAAGCCCGGCCGCTCCTCATCCTCTTTCGCATCTTCCTCCTCCTCTTGCTGCTCCACCGCTTCCTCCACGTCCTTCCCCCTCTCCCTCCAAGTCGTCTTCCTCGTCCTCGTCTTCGTCGTCTTCTGGGTCGGCGGCGCCAGCCGTAAGGCCTTCGCAATGGGGATAAAAACCGAAGATACCTATTTGGCTCAAGCCGGGCCGCGGGAGAGACCGTTGGAATCGCCCCAGGTTTCCCTGCTGCCGCTGCGGCTGGGCCTCATTGGAGCCTTCTCGGAGCTCTCTCACTGTTGGCTGGGGGCGCTGGCAGAGACCTCAGCGAGCTGCTCGGGGGATCGGTTGCAAACTGAGCCACTTTTGGGGGACCTGTCCACCGACGGGGATGGCCGTCCTAGCTTTGGACACGAAGAGCGGATGCCAATGCTAATCCTGGAGAGCAGAAAAGCCACCCTCAGAATAAGCATCCCGTCGAGCGAAGCCGTTTAGTAACGCACCCAAGGCCGGGATCGAACAGGGCAGGGCTGTTTCGTGAACGTCAACGGCGGTTTAATAAACACCAGTTCACAACAGGCACGAGAAACGGATGCCAATGCGTATCCATTGACGGGGACGGGCATCCAGGCCAACACGGCGCCACCCTGACACCGTCAGTGGCGAAGGCTGCCGCGCTTGCAGCGGCAGCCTGATCGTCTCATAACAATGCAAGCGGGCCAACACTCAACGGTTGGGACGCGAGCCCGAGCTACAGTCAAAACTCAGAGCAAAGATGCGCGATAAGGATGCAAGGCTCTTGCAGGCCAATGCCGAAGCTTTTCGAGCGGGGCTGGCCATCGAATGAGAAGAGGATACCGAAGATGACCGAAGAAGCAATGATGCAAGGGTACCCTCGGGAAGCCGATCTAAACGGGCCCGGGGGCACACAATTAAATAGACACACATCCCAGGACTCCCCATACCTTCCATATTTCCTGGATGCTCGTCCTCCCCTGCATTTCCCATACTTTCCATATCCTTGTGTCTGTGTGTTTGTTTCCCTTACTATCAGTGTGGACTGTAGACGGGCTGTGGCCACCTCCCCGCCCGAGCTTTTGCCCTCTGGTCATGGCCGAGGGGGTCGGCGCCCGCTTCCCTCCTCCTCCGCCTCCTCCTCCTCCCTCTCCTCCTCCTCCCTCTCCTCCTCCTCCCTCTCCTCCTCCTCCTCCTCCTCTTCCTCCTCCTCCTCCTCCTCCTCCTCCTCCTCCTCCTCCTCCTCCTCCTCCTCCTCCCCGTAGCCCTTTTGGCTCAAGTAAACCATTTCTCGAGGTGGTTTGCAGAGACCAGGAGCCTGCCCAGCAGGCTCGGCCCGCGCATCAAGGGCCTGCTGGGTAAGGCAGGCGCCCTCACATTTTCACGTTCCGAGGAGCTCCCGTACTGTACTGGCTGGGCAGGAGATCAGTTCTTCACGGTCGCGCATGGGGCGCAAGGAGAAGGATGATCAGCAGACTGGAAGCCAGCACGCGAAGTGCAGGGGATGTGGATATAAGTGGAACTGGGCCACCAGGTCGGAGTGCTACAAGTGCAAGAGGGGGCTGCAGCCAGCCACCTCACAGGAGCGAGCCCCGCAAGGCGCCTGGGGCCCCAGCGGTGCCTCCTCGCGGCGCCGCAGTCGCCCATCGGTCAAGCCGAACCGCGAGGAGCTTCTCAAGCAGCTGCGGGCCACCATCCCCGACGGCGACGCAGAGTCCGCCCAGCATCTCGAGGCGCTCGCCCGCGTGCAGCCTCCAGAGGTGCACCCAGACGTCGCCCTCAACCAGGCCCAGGCGCGGCTCCGCAGGGCCGAGGCGGCGCTCAAGAGGACCATCGAGAGCATCTCCGAGGGCGAGCAGTGGCTGTCGGACCAGAAGGAACAGCGGGAGACCTGGGTCCTCGAGGTCGCCGACGCTGAGGCGGCGGCCCAGGCGGCCTACGCACGAGCGGCGCCCAAGGCCGTCGCGCCTGTGGAGGGGCCCACGCCAGCCCTGGACCTCTCGCAGCTGCTCGAGGGCGACCTGGACATCCTCAGCGTGCGGCCAGGCAAGGCGTTCGACCTCGAGGGACTCGACATCCCGCCTGAGGAGCACCGCCAGTTCGAGGAGCAGATGTGCCAATTCGCCAAGCAGGTGCAGTCTGAGGTCAAGAGGCACTTCGGCCCAGCGGCGGAGGGGCTCGCCGCGATGCGAGCGGACCTCAAGGCCTTCAGCGACAGGCTCAAGAGCAAGAGGGCTCGGTCGGAGCCCCCCCCCCCCCCACCCACCCACCCCACCCCCGCCAGAGGCCGCCGCAGCTCCCGCCTCCGCGGCACCAGCAGGCAAGGCGGCAGGCAAAGGCGGCGCAGACGGCAAGCAGCCAGTGGCGGCCGCGCCCAAGGCGGCCCCCACAGCGGGGCCACCAGCCCCTCCCCCTGGTGGCGCTGACGGTGCTCGCGACGCTTCTGCAGCCAGCGGCGGCGGCGCTGCAGGCGCCACCGCTCCTGCGGGGGGCCCAGGCAGGACTCCCAAGCGCGAGCTGGCACAGGACGTCCGAGCCAGGATCCTGGAGCGGGCAGCCGTCAAGCCCCCAGCGGCTGACGGGGACTCCAGCACAGCCTGAAGGACCAGCCCTGCAGGGCTGGCGACGGTGGCGCCAGCGCCCACGCCGTGGCCGGGGCAAGACTGCCGCGCGGAGGCGAGGAGCGCCAGCCGTTCCACCAGACACCGACGGGGTCGTGACGACCCCCACCACCTCTACGAGCACTACCACTACATGGGGGGCGCCTCCTCCGCCCGACCTGGAGGAGCTGCCCCGAAGGGCGGGCAGGCGGTGGCAGCCTGGGCCCAAGCGGGTCGCCTTCATCGTGGGGACGAGCGCCCACGTCCCAGCCATCGAGGAGGGCCTTGACATCCTGGACGGGGACGGCGACAGCTCCTCCTCGAGCACCTGGGCACGGCGGGCGCTCAGGGGCGCGGACACGCTCCGCCGCCAGCTGCTCGCGCCGTGGCTCCGACGGCTGGACTGCAGCTCAGCCTCGAGCACAGCCACGGACGCCACGGAAGAGGCCCCAGTGACGCATGAGTGGAGAGCCGCGGATGCGCGGGTGGCCGATGCCTCTCCCCATGCGCCCCTCTCGCTGATGCCGCCGACAGGCGGGTGGTCGAAGCCATCAGCGATGTGCTCGTGGGACGGAGAGCCGCAGACGTGCGGGTGGTCGACGCCTCTCGACACGAGCGCCCCCAGCTCGGCTCCCCTGACGAGGGGGTGGCCGATGCAGCCCAGCTGGGGAGAGGGTTACTGGAAGCCTCGGTCGCGGGGCAGAGGGCGACGCGCCAAGCCTGGCATGGGGGTCAGCTCAGCCTCGACTACGGCCACTGACGCCTCGGAGGAGGATCCAGTGACGCATGAGTGGAGAGCCGCGGATGCGCGGGTGGCCGATGCCTCTCCCCATGCGCCCCTCTCGCTGATGCCGCCGACAGGCGGGTGGCCGACGCCTTCAGCGATGAGCTCGTGGGACGGAGAGCCGCAGACGTGCGGGTGGTCGAAGCCTCTCGACACGAGCGCCCCCAGCTCGGCCCCCCTGACGGGGGGGTGGCCGACGCAGCCCAGCTGGGGAGAGGGAATACTGGAAGTCCCGACCGCGGGGCAAGGGGCGCCACGCCAAGCCTGGCATGGACGTCAGCTCAGCCTCGAGCACGGCCACGAACGCCTCGGAAGAGGCCCCAGTGGCGCATGAGTGGAGAGCCGCGGATGCGCGGGTGGCCGATGCCTCTCTCCCCATGCGCCCCTCTCGCTGGTGCCGCCGACAGGCGGGTGGTCGATGCCATCAGCGATGAGCTCGTGGGACGGAGAGCCGCAGACGTGCGGGTGGTCGACGCCTCTCGACACGAGCGCCCCCAGCTCGGCT